ATTCTTCGTAAAAGAATTTTACAACAAAAGTCTCTCGCACACGCACGATTCACACAACAGGCAAAGCGCGGGGACGACGGCTTCTAACAGAAGCCGTCGTAAAAGAAAGAAAACAGGGAGGCAAGGGAGGGATGGAGGATGACGTCCGATTCTTCGTCCCGCTCCTTTCTGCGACGAGCCATTTCTTCAAAAAAACGCAATGCCGAACGCTACTTGTCGCCAACACGAAAACGCCGAGATCCTGTTTCGTGCGTGTTGCCAACGAAACTTTGCCAGAGAGATTGCACAGGTGCCTCATGGTTGCCTCTCGCCTCGCCCCTCGCCCGGCGCGACGCAGCGCGAGATGAGAGCTGCCCCCGCGCGGGCCCTCTCGCCTCGCCCCACAACCACCACTGCAGCGAGCCCGTGCCCGGCTGCACGCCGTGCTGCGACCGCCGCCGCGCGCGCGGCTCGCTCCGAGAATCGCCGCGAATCTGGCACAATCGGATTGCCGATCTGAGCGCTGCTGAGCGCGCGGCCGCGGGTCGCCTTCATGCCTAATGCGCCCCCGCGACCCCCAAAACGAGCCCGCGCTATGCTCGTCCCATCTTATGCTGCTGACGCTCGCTCGCCGCCGCCTGCGCCCTCGCAGATCCAAAACAACGTGGGCGAGGCGGGTGTGCCGCGGTTTCCTTGGCGCCGGGCCTCAAGCTGCGTGCGCTGCGAGTAGGTGCGGCCCTCTTGAGCCCCCCTTCCACTCAATTCCCCCCCTCAAAGACGCTCTCAAAGCAGAGAGAAGCAGCACTGGTGCCCGGAACACGATGTGCAGCAATCAGAGCAGGAGATTAGCCGAGATTGGCGAGATTGAGCCGAGATTTCGTCAATTAACATAATTAATTGCCCGAGATTACCCGAGATCGCTTCCGAGACCGGAATGGCATTTCCGCACCTCTTTGTGGAGGCGCTCTATCGCTCGTTCTCATGCGCCACCCGAGATTGCCCGAGATTGTCATCAAGTTTCGTCAATTAGCATATTGATTGCCCGAGATTGCCCGAGATCGCTTCCGAGACCGGTATGGCACTTCCGCACCTCTTTGTGGAGGCGCTCTATCGCTCGTTCTCATGCGCCACCCGAGATTGCCCGAGATTGCCATCAAGTTTCGTCAATTAGCATATTGATTGCCCGAGATTGCCCGAGATCGCTTCCGAGACCGGTATGGCACTTCCGCACCTCTTTGTCGCGGGAGTCTATGCCTCGTTCTCATGCGCCACCCGAGATTGCCCGAGATTGTCATCAAGTTTCGTCAATTAGCATATTGATTGCCCGAGATTGCCCGAGATCGCTTCCGAGACCGGTATGGCACTTCCGCACCTCTTTGTGGAGGCGCTCTATCGCTCGTTCTCATGCGCCACCCGAGATTGCCCGAACTATTGACGCACCCA